AAACTAGTTTGAACTAAATTAGTTTAACAACAGACATAAAAGAACAATTAAGTAGCACATGTATATTTGTAGCAATAGCCAACAATACATTGTATGTGTCAAAATGATCGTAATTTGTAATATTGCTAAGAACTTCATTTGGACAACTTTAAAGGCGATTTTCTCAATATTTAGAATTTTTTTTTTTTTTTAACAAACCATACATCAATGGAAAGCTTATTTATTCAGCTTTCAGATTATGTATAAATCTCAATTTCAACAAATTGACCCTTATGACTGGTTTTGTGGTCCAGGGTCACTCACAGATAGACAGACCGATAGGAATCTATCTTTTCAGAAGCGTGGCAGCTTGTGACTTTTCCAGTAATGACAACAGATAGTGCTAAGTAAATACATATTTTAAGAGACCCTTGACTGTAGTTTAACTACACTTTTAAATTGAGTTACTTGTAGTTTGACAAACTACTGTTCCAAACTAACTTCCCCATCACTGCACACATCAAATCACAGAGGAAAAAAAGCAAATGCAGGAGAGTGTGACCCATTCCCCAGATATTTGTGAAGCTCATTTCAGCCCAACAACATGTAGATGGAGAAGTGGTCTTGTGACCGCCTACACGATGACCACTGAAAAACACTGAAATATAGGACGTATGCAGAGAAGAGGCGTTTCTGTCTGGATAACGAGAGATAATAAATAGCAAAATTCCTTAGCATATGGAAAGATTTTTAGCCTGGGAGGGCTTCAAAGCAGACTTGCCGTTTTCTGCCATATGGGGCCACTACTTGCTGTTATTTTAACAACCTGCCACTGTTTGGATGTGAGGTACTGTATCCAAAAAAAACAGGACAAAGGAAGAAACAAGGCATATACATTATATGTGCCTGTTACTATTACATATGGGCTCATTTGAATATAAGTACAAGTAAATGTCTTATAGTAATTGATATAAATGAACTGAATATATGTTTATATATTTAAATGTATATATTATTTTACTGTATTATTTATTTTTATATTATGTTTTGTCTGTTTTATTGCAGTAGAGTTAAATAATTAAATAAGCTGTTTCATTACCTGCATTCTTTGTCAGTGCATGCCATGACTAATAGGAATAAACAAGATCTAAAGAATATCTAATGTGGCCCGTGTGTAAGCGTTCAGTGCCTGCATGCTCTACCATTAGGAAAACAGGTGCTCATCACTTTCCTTCTCTGTTTTCAGAAATAAAACAGGAAATTTAAATGATGCTTTAAAATGTTTTGATCCCAATGAATATTGCTGCTGATGAGCTCTTTGTTTAAGGCAGGAAGGGAAGGTCTCAGCCTCACACTTGCACTCACAGAAATGGTAATCTAATCTGATCAAAGCAGGGGATCAAATTGGTCTGATTAGCAACTCTAATCTGCTCACTCAGGAGGAGAGAGAAAACTCAACTCAAGTGCAAAATGAATGTTGAATGTTACATTTATGCAAAAAACGCAAGACAAGAAAAAAGGATTATGTATAGGCTACATTACATTTGATTCCAGTTTGACAAAAAATAATTAATCTTCATATTCAGACAAACAAATAGGGGTTTCTTCTCTATGGCTACCTAATCTTCACACATACAGCATCATGTATTGAACTCCATTCACTTTTTCCCCTGACTGACAGCGTTTTTGTCTTACCCAAGTAGCTGATGTCTTACTATTTATACAGCCTGTAGTATTCAAATATGATAACTATATGATTGACTCTAAAATACATAATAAAGCTACTTTAAAGAAGTATTTTTCTTGAAGCAGTAACATGATGTGACAGCTTTACCACTGCTGTTTCATATTAGGCATGAACAGGTACACATGAGCATGTCATTAGGGCTGTGTTTCCTGCTCTGCCTTAATTTTGCAACCAATGAGGCGTAAGAAAGTAATGGCATACTGAATAACATACTTAGTTAGCATCACATGATTCATTCCCCCCACAAGCATCTTTACACACCATCAATCTGGTCTGACACTCCACACACTGCTCTACTTCTGGTTTCTAGGGCGACCAAAGCTTAAGCCTCCAACATACAGAAAATACAGTATAGTATGCAACAGTGCTACAGTTTAAACATCAGATGACTATATCATTATCATAGTCAGACTGATAGTGGATACAACATCTTATCAGTCTTTTCACATTGGATATGAAGGCAAAGACGAGCATATTATGTAGTAATAATAAGTGGTTAAAAAAATGATATATAATACAGTAGTTTGCGACTCTGAAACAGAAAGTTCTTAAAGGGACAGTTCACCTAAAATTTTAATTCAATAGTCATCATTTTCTCACCCTCATATACTTTTACTTCTGTGAAAAAAAAAGAAACTTTTGAGCTGTTAACTTGAAAAACGCTACAACCAGATCGCATCAGAGAGTTAAAGTGATAGGTCAACAAAAAATTTTAATTCTGTCATTAATTACTCACCCTCATGTCGTTCCAAACCCGTAAGACATTCATTCTTATTCAGAACACAAATTAAGATATTTTTTATTAAATCCGAAAGATTTCTGACCCTCCATAGACAGCAATGTCAGCGCATAAGTCTTGGTACTCATCATGGCGATTACATTAAATTAAATTAAATTATATTAAATAACTTAATATTAACAAACATAAAAGACAAAAAAATAGAATTGTTGCCTTGGCAACTAACTAATATTATGTGAAATGTAAAAATGAGAAATGAAGCTAAAGTACTAAAATTATTCAAACTAAACAGGTACACATGAGCATGTCATTAGGGCTGTGTTTCCTGCTCTGCCTTAATTTTGCAACCAATGAGGCGTAAGAAAGTAATGGCATACTGAATAACATACTTAGTTAGCATCACATGATTCATTCCCCCCACAAGCATCTTTACACACCATCAATCTGGTCTGACACTCCACACACTGCTCTACTTCTGGTTTCTAGGGCGACCAAAGCTTAAGCCTCCAACATACAGAAAATACAGTATAGTATGCAACAGTGCTACAGTTTAAACATCAGATGACTATATCATTATCATAGTCAGACTGATAGTGGATACAACATCTTATCAGTCTTTTCACATTGAATATGAAGGCAAAGACGAGCATATTATGTAGTAATAATAAGTGGTTAAAAAAATGATATATAATACAGTAGTTTGCGACTCTGAAACAGAAAGTTCTTAAAGGGACAGTTCACCTAAAATTTTAATTCAATAGTCATCATTTTCTCACCCTCATATACTTTTACTTCTGTGAAAAAAAACGAAACTTTTGAGCTGTTAACTTGAAAAACGCTACAACCAGATCGCATCAGAGAGTTAAAGTGATAGGTCAACAAAAATTTTTAATTCTGTCATTAATTACTCACCCTCATGTCGTTCCAAACCCGTAAGACATTCATTCTTATTCAGAACACAAATTAAGATATTTTTTATTAAATCCGAAAGATTTCTGACCCTCCATAGACAGCAATGTCAGCGCATAAGTCTTGGTACTCATCATGGCGATTACATTAAATGAAATTATATTAAATAACTTAATATTAACAAACATAAAAGACAAAAAAATAGAATTGTTGCCTTGGCAACTAACTAATATTATGTGAAATGTAAAAATGAGAAATGAAGCTAAAGTACTAAAATTATTCAAACTAAAACTGAAATAAAACAAATTAATTAAATCTAAATAGAATTATTACAAATTACTAAATTACTAACATTTAAACTGAAATTAAAATGAAAACTGATTCAAAGTATTAATAAATATTATAATAGTACATAAATAATACTAAACACACTGAACTTAAAGAACTTAAAACTGAAAAGAGCCGACTCAAAAGAACAATTTGTTTATGAACTGAATATCAACTAAGCAGCAACAAAGAAGGGTTGGGGCAAATGTTTGTTTGTCTGAATGTGAACAACAATACAAATTTCTATTTACTAATCGCACAAAGTGGTCTAATGTCTTCAGACAAAATATTGTACATGAGTCATTTGGATCACTTTTATGATACTTTATAGTGCGATTACATATTGAACTCTTCTGTCCCTATTTATCTTTATTGCATGAAAAAAATGTCTCCAAAATCTCTCTGTGTGTGTTCTACAGAAAAAAAATCAAGTTGTACAGATTTGGAACAACATGAGATTAAGTAAACGATGATATTTGGAATTTTGTTATTAAACCATTACTTAAAACACTATGAAATGCTATGACAGAGCATTTCATAATCACTGTGATTTACTTTAGAGGTGAAACACTGTACTTTGTTTATTGCAGAATGAACTACACACCTCCACAGTCAGCTCTTCTGCTCTTAAACCCTCTCTTTCTTCATTCCTGCTGTCTCTCTCTGGGCAATTCTTCATCCTAATCTCATTTCTCCATTCATTCATTCACTCTCTCTCTCTCTGCCTCTGACTCAATCTTAAAAGTGGTCCACACAAAGGGCACACAAGCACTACAATCCAGGTCAATAACAAACTGACCAAAGATGCACTGGCTTTCAGTGCTTAATCTAAAGAGCATCTCTATTTTTAAATGATTTAAACTTTCTGAAAAATGAGACTGGAAGTGCATCCACATAAACACAAACAAATTCTCCTCAAGTGCCAGGACAGAAAGTCTCCCCAAGGACGATTTTGCAACAGGAGACGTCATAAGCACTGCAAAGCATCAATCGGAAACCATGCGTAAACTTTGCATGCGGCTGTGAAAATCCTGGCAATTGCATCACACGTCTCACAACACACAGCTGCAGAGAGACGTACAGTACTGACCCCGGGCAGCCAAATAACAGTAGCAGAATCATACTGATTCAGAGGTGCAGACATCAAACAAAACATGCACAGACATCACAATCCAAGTTAGAATCCATTCAGAAGTCATTTCAACCTTTAAAGAAAATTACATCTTGAGTACGTATATGCTGTGTCATCCTACACAGTGGCGAGGTCACCTTTAAGAGAAAGCATGCGTAAGCACCTACCCTGCAGCCTCTGCATCTCATTGGCAATCTCCCTGTCTGAACGGCCATAGCGCTGAGCAGATGCCATTCCACTGATTCGAAGTCAGTGGTGCTGATGCAGGTCAGCGGATGCGGCTCCACCTGACACTTCTCCAGTGATCCAGGATCAGCTGAAGTCTACATGAAAAGCGTAATTGTTTTCAATCAGCGCATGCCATGCAAACATACGGTTTCTTTCCTCCCCTTGAAGTTCTGTGGCTTCTGCAGGAAGCAGCCTCTTCCCTTTGCACTCTCTCTCTCTTTCTGCCTCTCACACTCTACTGTAGGCATCAGCATAAGTTTTCACTGCCACCTTGTGTCCAATCAGAGTGCAGATCTCAAGTGCAGTCCAATAGTGAGGCCCAAATTGAGTCCTGCTGTGTATAAGTGTGTTACTTTAGCAAAGCCAGACATTACTCTAAATGATTCGATTAAAACGTGTTACATGTCTGAGCTTCCGCTCATGGAAAATGCAAAAGATGTTGGAATATGGCGTATCTCAAGCATGGGACTCCCATTAAGTGAAATTCAAGAGGGGCGGTTAAAACTCTCATACCAGAGACACGCTGTTATGCTTTTCACTTCCATTACCGGTTCAATCACACACATGCATGTTATATGAAAAAAAGCAAAGTGAAATGCCTGACTGGAGCATTAAGCTCGGGATTCAGAGACCACTCTGCTGAGTCTGCTGGTTTTCAAACAGCGATGCTTAGCAATGACCTCTACACGGTCACTGCAGATGGATGTGAGTGAGAGAGCACAGTGTGAAGTTACTGACACAAGTCCTTGTGCGCAGAGGATCTTATGTCATTCTCGTTCACTCACCTTCTCCAAAGAGCCACTGTGAAGACTCTGTACCCTGCGTCATTCTGAAGAGCCCATTAGACGACAAACAGTTCAGCATCGCACATCAATATTTTGCTAAATGTTTTCCTGGGAATAGATAAGAAAGAAAGAGAGGGATTAATTCTGACAAGCAAACAAATAAACCAATTAGCAAATAAGATCAAGAATGGTGATGTTCAAATGCCTGAAATGCGGTTATGCTGCAACATGTTCTCTAAAGAGCAACAGAGCCATCTGCTGTTTATCAAGAGAAGATGTTCTCTAAAGAGTAATAGAGCCATTCTGCTGTTTATCAAGAGAAGATGGACAGGACAGGGACAGGGACAGGGACAGGGACAGGACAGGACAGGACAGGACAGGAGAGGAGAGGAGAGGAGAGGTTAGGATATGAAAGTAAAAGAAAAGGGAAGGGTAGGGTAGGGTAGGGTAGGGTAGGATAGGATAGGATAGGATAGGATAGAATAGGAAAGGAAAGGAAAGGAAAGGAAAGGAAAGGAAAGGAAAGGTGCAACATGTTCTCTAAAGAGCAACAGAGCCATCTGCTGTTTATCAAGAGAAGATGTTCTCTAAAGAGTAACAGAGCCATCTTCTGTTAATCAAGAGAAGATGTTCTCTAAAGAGTAATAGAGCCATTCTGCTGTTTATCAAGAGAAGATGGACAGGACAGGGACAGGGACAGGGACAGGGACAGGACAGGACAGGACAGGACAGGAGAGGAGAGGAGAGGAGAGGTTAGGATATGAAAGTAAAAGAAAAGGGAAGGGTAGGGTAGGGTAGGGTAGGGTAGGATAGGATAGGATAGGATAGGATAGAATAGGAAAGGAAAGGAAAGGAAAGGGAAGGGAAAAGGAAAAGGAAAGAAAAGAAAGGATAGGATAGCGTTACAGTAGCCATAAATCACAGAATACACAATACAAGAAGAAAAAAGAAAAAGCAAATTAAATATATTATACAATGTGCAAAAATATACACTGCATTGCATGAAGAAAAAAAACGATTTTTACAAAAAATTATAATTTTAATGTATTTTATTTTTAAAATAAAATTAAATTAAATGGTCCCAAACATGAACTAGGCATGTTTTTGGCATAGGGAATTTTAATGGAAAACACACAATAGGCTGAAGATAAAAGTGTAATGTATACTTCAGACCTGTGTATGGCAACAGCTGATATCTGCACTCCACAGCACAAAGCAACAAAGAGAGGAAATGTCAGTATAGGGCCTGTCCCGCTCCTCCCAGACCAGCGGCTCTGTCCTAAAATCACAGATACTGTCCTTAATCACTAACCTCCAGATACCCTTAATGAACACTATGAAGAAAAGAACAGAGTTCTCACAGAGGTGAAAGTGGCCTGGTTCGGGGCAAAATCCTGCTTTCTTTGCAGGATCTTATCAGGATTCTGTTTTTGCAAAAGTTAGCCTGGTCAGGATAACCCAGCACAGAGCTGGCACTCTACATGGAAAATCTGAAGTGGTGTGATGACCAGCATGACTACAGCAGACAAAATGGAACAGTAAAAGCTCAAAAATCTTGGAAATTGTGTTACGAAATCTTTTGTTATGAAATACATAGAAAAATGCAAGGGTTTCATCTGTTTGGACTTGGTTTCCTGTGCTGGAATCCTGAAAGAATTCTGGATGCTTTTTAAGTGCTTCAGCTGCCATGGCTATGTTGACAGTGTGTGTGGAAAAGATATCACAAAAAAATGAACACATGAGAATGTGTTCATGTTCCTCTAATGTTTTGGACAGCCATATTAAAAACAAATAATTAAATATAATTTTTTTTCATGCTAATTTTATATTGTATTGTATATTATACAATACACTACAGTTCAAAGTTTGGGGTCAGTACTTTTTTTCTAAGAAATTAACACTTCTATTTAGCAAGAACACATTAAATTGATCAATAGTGACAGTAAAGATATTTATAATGTTGTTATAAATGCTGTCCTTTTGCAATGAATGCTGAAAAAATGTATCATGGTTTCCATCAAAATATATAGCAAAACAACTGTTTTCATTATTGATAACAATAAAAAATGTTAGAATGATTTCATAAGGATCATAACAGCTAAAAAAAATTCAGCTTTGCTATCATTAAAGGGGTCATATGATGTTGCTAAAAAGAACATTATTTTGTGTATTTGGTGTAATGAAATGTGTTTATGCGGGTTAAGGTTCAAAAACACATTATTTTCCACATACTGTACATTATTGTTTCTCCTCTATGTCCCGCCTTTCTGAAACGTGTCGATTTTTACAAAGCTCATCGTTCTGAAAAGCGAGGTGTGCACTGATTGGCAAGCTATCTAGTGCGTTGTGTTTGGCCGAATTCGTCAAGCGTGTGACAGAAATGTTACGCCCCTCACATACTGTGATGCCTTCTGCATCCACATGTGACGACCCCGGGCTGGACTCCCCTTCATCCACGGTGAAAGCCGATCCGGCGATCCACAGCACGAAGTTGATGTATTTCCTCAGCGAC